CTGCCACATCTTCCTCCCTCTTTCCACAAGCACGTCCTCGTGCTCCCGCGCAGGGTGCCACAAACACTGCCACACTAATATCCGCGATAAACATCTGTTTAAGTACCGGAAGAGGTTATCTTTGCTTTCTGAATGTCCATATTGCTAGATATGCTGAGTTTTAGGGCGAAATCCTGGGGAATTTTGTCTAGAAATGCAATTACCTAACCGTGCGCGATCCCGCGGTGGCTAATCATTTTTTGGCAGCGAAACGATTAACGGCACAACACCGGCTCGGGTTTCTCCTCCTCCTCCCTCTTTTCTTCTCCAACCTGTCGCTGGGCTGAGGCTCCATCACTTCCTAAATTGATCTTACTTGAACCTTCACTACCAAACAACTGTGAGATTTTAACACATGTGCCAGCATCAGCCTGAAGGGCCAGTTTCTTTTTTAGTCGAATTTTCTCCGCTCCTCCTTTCCGTTTTTTGTTCTCCATTTTGTAAAGCTCGTCTGTCTGTTTACTGAGATTCACAAACAACTGGCGGGTGCATCAGACCTCTGGCTATTGGTCCAGCTCAGAGTGTATTATTACCAATTGGCCAATCCACCAACTTTTACGAGGCGTCGCGTGGGGCGGTGCGGGCAAGTTGTCCGCAACAACTAGAGACTAGGGAAAAAAAAAAAAAAAAAAAAAAACAGACACCGGCCCATAAAAGATGAAAGGGTCGGCCCAGCGGGCAGTTGCCCGCTATGCCCTATGGTCAGTCCAGCAGTGTTGCAGAGGAAATGGAGACAAAGTCGTGATGCTGTCAGCCAATTACAGACAAGATGTCTGAATAACATGAATAACAAAAAGACTAAATCTTGTTGTTTTCTGTTTTCCTGTTGTTTTCTTCCTTTCTCACTCCTCTAGCTAAAGGTTGGTTTATGATTGACGCGTCCGCGAGGTCCGCACGGCTCCGCGCGGCGAAATTGCGTCATTTTAACAAACACGCCCCTCCACCGCGCCTCCGCATGGCCCAAAATTTCCGCAACGCGCACCTAGGAAAATTTCTAACCACGCGGACGGTCGGACGCGGAAAAACATTGCGGACTGGCAAGAACTAGTATGGCAGAGGTTCGTAAATACAGACATTTGTATGATTCAGCTCTCAAAGATCACTGTGATCAACATGTTGTTAATAATTCTTGGAGAGAAATAGCTCGCACTGTTGGAAAAGACGAGGATGCTGTTAAAAATGCTGGAATGCCATGTTGTAAACAACAGTTTTTACTTCTACTACGGTTTAGTGTTGGATGCATGCCGTAGAGCTCCATGCTGCCCCGTTCAGTTTGGGAGAATATCGGCTCACCGCAGAGACGAGCCACATGAACCATAAACGCTGCGAGTTGTGAAGCGCGTTCCATCCGCGAGCCGCATCACCAAGCAGAAAGTGAATGCATCAAGCACAAACCAAGCTTAACTCCTACCTCTGAAACAGGAGCATGGGAGCTTTTTTCCACATAGATCGACTCACAAGGCATCCATTTATTCTAGAAACCACTGCAAATGGACTGAAAAACCAATAAATGACAGCTTTAAATAAGATTTTAGCAACACTTGCGTAAAGAGAATTGGCTGGCTCAGCCATATTGTAAGGAGAAACTGTCTTTACTCAGTTATATTGTAGCGTTGTGGTTTTATGCTCTTTTATGAAAGAGGAACCATGCTACGTATTAATTCGGAATATTAATTTTAATAAATCAATAACCAAATTTTATATTGTTAAGAAGACTCAAAGGTTGTTTTCATCGATGAACTGACGATAATGTCTGTGTGTCTGTGTTTCAGTTCAATGAGGAAACCAGTTTGACAATTAAAAGTTTTAATTCTTCAAATTAAACTAATGATTTTGAAATTGACAAACAGGAAATAACAATCAACATTGGCAACTTGTGGGACAATCTTTAACAGTTGATCAAATAGACCTTGTGGTGAATTTATGAAGATTGAGAGTGTTGTGATATGAATGCGTGTGTGAGTCTGATTTTGCTTCAGGAAGAACAGGTGTCTGAGTGAAGTGATGGTTTGGATAAACTTAGGTCTTATCAGAGAACTGCATCAAACGCTAAACACCGTGTTCTGTCTCACCGAACTCTTGTGGACCCTCTTTCGGATCCGGGCCGTGGAGGATGGTGGTGGTTCATCCAGATGACACTCAACGGCTGACAGGGGAGACGTAGGTGTCGAACGGAACCGGTCCAGAGTTGCCCTCGGTACACGTTGATGGTAAAGCGTTTTGTCGATGCGCTTTCTTAAGTTAACTCACTCAGAAATCAAAAGACTCGGTAATGAGTCTGCGTTAGAAGTTGCGATTCAGCTATTCTGCCTGGCTTGGCAGGAACAGCATGAGAAAGGGGGGAAGAACGAGCCGACCGGCTCCCCCCTTTTAGCGTTTACTCAGGTCCTCTCTCTTTCGTTGTCAAGCACGAACTGAAATCATAAGACTGAAACTTACCAAAAGCCTTTCTCCTCTCAAAGCAAAACGTGTGCATCAGCAAATGTGTTTTGGAGTTTACTGTGAGAATCTGTGTGTGGGTGTGTGTGAGTGTTTGTGAAGGTCAGTAACAAACATCCTCAACATTATCTAAGAATGGCTTCATTAATCCATTATAATTACCCAAAGCATAAGAACCATTCATTTGATTAAACACATTTATATTGAGCAAAATGATAATGGTTACTTTAACATTAAAATCAAGAAACAAAGTTTTAAGACTTGTTATGTTATGACTACTTTTATGGGAACAACATCTTCTGGCACGAAGCTGCAGGTGGCAGATGTTATGGTTTCCTCCCAGACTCTCTGGCGTTCAGGTCTTAATCTGTGGGTGAAAGTTCTCAATGACCCAGCTTTGACCCAGCTGAGTCCAACACCACCTTTGTGACAGAAAACCCATATTTCCTCATGTTACACTTGGGATACGTTGCATTCTAAAACAGAGAGGATCATCCCTTCAAAAACACTAAACAGGTTGCTGTTTTCTTCTTCCTGCTTTTCCAACAAGCTGAAATATGAAGTAAATGGTTTCACTGATGGCTCGTTTTATGAATATGTGATGCTTCGACCCATTCCAACCAAACCAGATGAACTATAAAACTACATAAGTGCCATTAGGCGACTGTTTCTCTGTTTGTTCTTGAGGAGCCAATTACATCTCTAATCCAGACATATTTAGCTGGATAATCATATAATCCTCATGTTAAGTAAGAGGACGCCATACTGATACACTCATCTGCTTCTGTCAGACAACACCAACAAACAACCATCCAAGTAAGTAGAATTATTAGTGTTTAATCTTTTTTATTGTTATTGCTGGTGCCTGCCGTCCTGTTGATGAACAAGCTGCTGTTCTAATGATTTATGCTGAGGTGCTAACACGAGTTTCTCATTAATAATTCAGCATCAGCTCATTTGTAGTTAGTTCAGAGCCCGATGGAAGCAGCTGACAGGCATTTCCTCTCAGCTACATACTATTTGATTATCTGGATCTTGACTGCATTTTGCTGCACAAACAGATGGTCAGCCTTCCGCCTGTGTTCGTTATGGTTCAGTATGTGTGCCCCTGTTGGTTGCTACTGTGCTCTCTGACTCAGATCAGGCTGGCCTCTAGAAACTGAAGGAGGACGAGGTTGGAGTCCATTACAAATTATTCAGAGTAAAAATCAAGACAGAATCTTTATTATTCTTATCCTCACCTTGTGTTTCCTACCTGATGTGAGTCTGTAGGTGAGAACCGGGACGTTGGATCCGTGCGGGGGAGGGAGATGAGAGGCCTGTAAGGTGGTGGAAGAGGTGCAGAACTAAGGAAAGGTGAAGATTAGACGGAGTGCTAGACCTGCCGTCATCACTAGGGTTTGATTATGAATCAGAAGGATGACTTGTTGACCTACGACTGGAAAGCAGGCGAGTAGAAGATGGAAACACAAAGTGAAGCCTCACGTTTTAGTTTCAGCGAGTCCTCGTTAAAACTCTCCTTCCCACAAAATTACACCGGTTCAATGAGTCAGAGAGTTTCTGGAGTTTTTACTGTTTTTCATCAACTTTGTGTTTCCAAAGAAACTCCTCACACAGAACAATAAAAGTGATTTACAAAGTTGTGCATTGGACAAAATAACTAGAGATGTCCAATATTATCGGTCTACCGTCAATATCGATATCGGCATTTAAAATGTATTATCAGAAAATATCGGTATCAGTTTTCAGTTACTTCACTCCCTCACATTGTCAAAATATAACTGATCTGATGTAGAGTTTTTGAGATGTTTTAGTTTATTTGGGACAACTTTTAAAGTATAAATTTGTCCTGAGTAGTGAGCGTATGCTGTCCTCACAGCACACAGCCCAAGGCGTGCTTCTTATCTGAAGAAGAAGACGGCGGCTAATGTTGCTTCATTGACTTTGAGCTAAGGAGCTGCGGGACTTGAGAAGTTAAATGAAAACTCAACATGGTGTATCCATCTATTTCTGTGAATCTAAAATATCTTGATAACAGGAGGTCTTGTAACAAAAAGGTATTTAATGTTCTTTTCTAATTTTCAGGTCCATTTAAAGAAGTGACGGAGAAAATATGATGTAAAATATTAATAATGCAAACGTGATGATGTCATTATTGATATAATTTTAGGTACTTTTAACTTTAGCCTTACCATAGCATTTAGCATTTCCTTATCTGTTAGCTGGATGTTGTACATCACCTGCTAGCTCAAGAAAAACGTTCCTATCAGCTTTACTCTTGAAATAAGATCCAGTCACTGAAAACTCCCATGACACTCAGGGGTTTTGACTGCATGCATTTAGAAGCACACCCTGGAAGTCCAGATGCTGAGAGGTTTTCGTCTCTCTTTGTGTCTGTGCATTTGGGTCACGGTTGCACGACAGATGCAGTGAATCTCTTCCTCCACTCCAGTGGGTTTAGCTAAATATATTTAGAATTCCTCAGCAAGGTCCATCCCTTCTAACCCTCGGGGCAGCTGCACTCGGCTCATAACACCGTAGCTCCCAACTGCTGCCTCTTTAGCTGCGTTTGGTGTTTGCTTTTGCCCGAGTCCACCTGGCCCTCCATTTCATTACCTCAATTAGAGTGATTAGGATCTAAAATTGCCTGTGTCGGCTCGGTGATTGACAGCAATTGGCCACTTAGGGAGGAAAGCTGAAGACGCAGAGTGCGTTGCTCAGTGGCTTGTGTAGTGAAACGGGTTTGTATGCCTGCTGCTGCGTTTGTGGGTGTGTTTGTTTATCCTGGCGGGATTTCTGCTCGGAGATGAGAACAATCCTCCAGGTAATCGATCCATACACAAAATACAGATATTATACTTCACTCATGTGTCAAGCATGAATGATTTCAAACAAATAGATGGAGTGTGTGTGTGTGTGTGTGTGTGTGTGTGTGTGTGTGTGTTTTGCACTTTAAAACAGTCATGTTTCAAACTTTTCAAACAATATTTCTGACGACACGTGAAAAATGAACATTCATCAGGTCATTTACTTATCGTCAGGAAGTTTGAACTCACACACACACACACACACACACACACACACACACACACACACACACACACACACACACACACACACACACACACACACACACACACACACACACACACACACACACACACACACACACACACACACATACTTTCCTTTTATACTTGATGTGTCAGTGTTGTGAAGCCCTTCTCCGGCAGGACAGCAGAGGACGCAGACCTATTCTGGTGGGTCTGACTACCATTGCAGTGACGTCTGTGGTCGAGTTTATTACTTCAGCTTGTGAACACCATAGACATTATCATTCATGACTGTGATAAATGCAGAAGGAGGTGTGAATTTTAATTCTTGTGTTAACACTGGAATTGGTCAATGTTCCTATTTTGTTAAATAAAGATTTAAAAAAGCTTGTAAGCCCCAATAAACTCATGGAGCATTGGCCGACAGAGAGCAAGTTTTCAATGAGCAGAAACTTCTTGATCTCAAGGAACAAAAACTTTTGTTAAAAAGAATTAAACACGGCTTAGGAGGAATGTCTATCCACTGATGTATAGGTTGATTGATTAGTCGGCCCAATTGCTGCACATTCCTTTGATGGGTAATTACAAAATTGGTCTCTACTCCGTCCGTCCTTGCGTGCCTGTCGAAGAACTCTTGCATCAGCAGATAACGGTTCTGCGAAACTCACAAAGCTCACAAATAGGAAGGTGGTGAGTTCCTCGTTTGTTTTGATACATGGACTGCAGTACCCAACACTGACCACAGCAATCAACTTTATCTCCTTATCTCAATTTGTGGTATGTGGGAAAAAATGGAAGTGCTGCTTAATCCTAATGCAGAACAGGGTTTATGCACTGAACAGGAAGTTGTAAAGTAAATGCATTCACCATAATCCAGACTTAATCTAAAAGATTCTGTTCTGATAGATATTAAAGCCAAACTTTACAACTTTTTATTTTTATTTTCAAGCCCTTTTCTTGAGCCAGTATCTATTAAAATAACCCTTGGTTAATGAAAGGCCACCCAGCCCCTAGCCCCCATGGTCAGAATACTTCAGAGTTGCCTGTCCGGTCTGTAGGGACGCAGGAAAAATCTAGCTGACACACCTGGTGCTACAGTCAGTTTCCAGCACATTCCCTACAAGTTTTAGATCATGAACACAGCTGATTTGTTAAATTTTGTGATGAATCACTCATGTAGACACTAATAAAGGCTGGGAAGACAATTCAGCTGTTAGATTAAGATGTTAAAAAGACGAACGCACAACAAGGAGATAGGTTTTGCTTTTGGTTCTACAAACAGACACTAGGGGGTGCTAAAAGCAAGCCAAAACTGCCCAGTTCCCCTTTAAAGGCAACGTTTAGTGTAGTTTCATTGGTATTTTTTTGAGATTTAAATTCTTATTTTCTTTAAAATGAAGTAGTTTATTATGTAAATAAATTTGACTAGCTGTTAGCTTATCAATATCATCAATCTTTGAACCAAAACTAATATTTTATACTCAAATTCAATTAAAAATATGTGAATTATCCTTTTAATAAATTTCAAAACAACATAAAAAAAGACTTTGCTGACTTCCATCTCGAGTCTGGGGATACAATGATTATCTTTTTTCATGGCCATTCATCTTAACATAACCTAAGTGTGTTACGATCTGTATTTATGACACACACACACAATCGCTGACGGAGAGCCTGACAGGAAGGAAATCAGTATTCAGTCAAGGCACATTTTGTAAGTAAGGAAGGAGTTCCGTTTGATGGAGGCTCATCAAATGGTCAACAGTTATTTATGTGATAAGCTGGCTTTTATTTATTTTATTCTCATTAAAGCCACGAGCTGTACGGCCTGAAGTGGCAACTGCTGAATCAGATCTTAAATCTGTGTTTGTATCATCTATGTTGCATGTGAGGTGGAAGTAAGCCGTTCGGTTTGAAGCGCATCAGTGTCAAGTTATCATCAGACTGCGGTCGTAACAACGAGGTTCATGACAGAACATTAATCTGTCTCCCAAGCAGGCAGCTGTAACTCTCCTCCTGCTCCTCCTCACATTGTCGTTCAACACCTCCTCTCTCATCCGTACGCTTCAGTACACTTTAAATTTTCATCATCACAGATGTTTATTTCTTCTCAGGAGTCACGACATTTCGGATGAATTAGGCCGTTTATCTACTGCCCCCTACTTGTCGGTATGGCTAAAATATTAGGTGAAGCTAAAATCTGCAGAGTAGCCGTTTCATTGTAATATAGTAAATGGGCACTTTCTATCATGCCAGCATCTGATTCATATTATCCAGCACTGTTATACACGCATAACACTTAGTGTTATAGATCAACTGAAGGATGATACTTGGCGCAACATGGAAACAATCATTTTTCCAAAATGATTAAATTAAAACAGATAAGATAAACCTAGCTTAGCTGTCATGTGAGAATAATCACTGTAAAGATAATTATGGAGGCCCTCTTGGCTAATATTATGGTTTGTTCGCTGACAACATACAGTGGATTCTTAAAGGGGCAATGTGTAGTTTTTATCGTGAATCTCTGTAAATTTCTATTAAATGTTGTTGAAATTGAATTCAATGATGCCCAGTTGTTAAAAATATTGGCGGCTTCTTAACATATAACCATGAAAATCAGGCCTAATATTCATGGGAGCGGGTCTAAAGCCTGGGGCACACCGGATCGCCTGAGATTTTGAGAAGTTAAGTGGTCACTCAGGATGCGCCGCGCCGCTGAGCGCGTCTTGAAAAGTCGTGCGATATTCACGACATCACGCAGGACTTGAGAACAGAAAGCAGGAAGTGACTATTTTTTATGCGTAATCAGATTTGCCGTCATGTTTTCTGAGACTCAAATTCATTAAAAATGGGTAAGAATGCTAGAATATTTTAAGATCAATAGTACTTTAAAGTTGTCAAAACTGCAGCTCTGTTAAACCTTCAAATAACACAGATTACTTGTAATAAAATGTCAGAGTCCCGTCTGTCACATGTGGTTTTTATTGGTTTTAGAACCAATAATGTACAAAAGCACTTTTCCACCGACATAACTACAGACTGGGTAAGTATAATTTATGGATGAGGAACACGCGTGGATGACTGAGACCTTCAGTACTGCTGTTCCCTCGTTCTACCACTAGATGCTGTTCCTACGCATGGTCGGAGCTGTTCTTATATTTAGAATCATGTTCACGCACAAGTACAAATTGGTAAATACCACACAATAAGAAAATTCGTGCCTACGCATAAAATACGTACAGATCTGTGCGTAAGTACGGTTGATAAATGAGGCCCCAGGGCTTTTTGACCCTAATGGGGATCCGTTGGTAAGATCTTACTCCAACACAAAAATACTGCTTGCTTGCAGATTCAGGTATCTACTGCCCCTATTTCCAGGAAAAATACACACTGTCACTTTAAATGCGTATTGTACTGATTAGCTTTAAGATACATTCTTTCCATCAAAATAGTAAAATAGTAACAATATAAGTAATTCAATTGAAACTGTAAATGTCCTTGTGTGGACTACATGCACGTTTGTTTCAGCTGTAAAGAAAACCTTTAACTTGTTGATCTGTACTTGTTGTCGATTTAAATCCAAAGTTGCTGCAGTTAACAGGTTGGAGTTTGTTTCATCTTTCAGTTTGAGAAAATAAAGTGTTGCACTCTTTATTTCCTGAGTCAGAACTAAAATCTGGGAATAACTTGGATTTTAATGATTGGTCACTTTGGTCACATGCAAGCTGAACATGAAAATAGTCTTCTAACCCTATTTCCTACATTAGCTACTGGTAGAAAATAGATGTGGAAACGATCGGGTCAGAAAAAGCCACACAGATCTATGTCACACGGTAAATTAGCAATCATGGACTCACCCACTCAGGGAAGGGTTGATTTAGCATCCAGGAGCGTGTCTCAGCTAGTAGAAGCTAACTATTAGCATTAGCCACTGGCAGACTGGTCATTCAGGAGCACCGGGACATATCTGGGTGACCTGGCCGTGGAAATGGCCCACTTGGCGATTGCCAGCTATCCCACCCCCCTTCTCGAACGTAAGAATTAAGGCAATACTCTAGTCTGCGCTGGGATGGTATCTGGTTGGAGTAATTGTTTCAGTCCGCCCATGGCATTAGCAACTCTACAACACGGGAGAAATTCTTCAGGCTTGAGTTACTTTTGGAGACAACGCATCAACAGTGCTGTTAGCCAATCAGAGGCGAGAGGTCCAAAAATCATAACTGATAATGAGTACACCAAATCTTTTCCTTTTCTACCTCCCTCTCTTCTGGCTCCTGAAACAGAAGCGCCAGAGCTTTTTTCCACAGAGAACGAAGAAGGCATTCATTTATATCAGAGACCACAGCTTTAGTCAGAAATCCATTTGAGTTACATTTCTACATTCTTAGTGTTCCAGTTGTTTTTTCCACATTCAGATATTCTAATTTCCAAGAAATGATCTTATGTCCAATAAAAAATAAGTGTCTCCGCATCGAGAAGAGCCAGTCGAGGTGACTCGGGCATCTGGTTAGGATGCTTTCTGGACGTCTTCCTAGTGAGGTTTTCCAGGCACGTCCAATTGGGAGGAGGCCTAAAGGCAGACCCGGGCCACGCTGGAGGGACTTCTGGGCTGGCCAGGAAATATCTTGGGATGTCCCCGGAAGAGCTGGCCCAAGTGGCTGAGGAGAGGGAAGTCTGGGCTTCTCTGCTGAGGTTGTTGCCCTCATCCGACTCCGGATGAGTGGATGAAAATGGATGGATGGATGGAAAAAAAATCTGTACACTGGAAACTGCTTGTGCTTTTTGGTTGAAGCAGTTTTTATTCATAATTTGTTTACAACCATTTAGTGAAGCTAAAAAGAGAAATCTCTCTACATGCACAATGTTGTAAAGCTTTGCTCTTCAAAGTGGGACATTTGTTGCTTTTGACATTGTCTTGTTTTCATCATTTCACCAGGATGTCTGTAAAAAGTGCAAAAAGTGGACCAGAAAGCAGACCCTCTTCTGCTCTCAGGTAAGTTAACTCAGTAAAGACACAAGTCAGCATTTATATGTTATTCTAACCATGAAAATTAAACTCTTTCCTAATTAAATAATATTTAGAGATGCAATGTTTATTACTATCTTTATTTTCACACAATACTTGATAGAGATTCATGATTGTTCAAACTTTGAATGTTTAACTAAATACCTCTTTTGATGTTCATTGTTTAGCTTTAAAGAGCAAGTCACCCCCTACCAGAATATTACTCCACTCCCACTTCCTGTTTGAAAAATGCAACAAATGCTGTTGCCCAGCAGACCGATAGGGTGGAGCCGCTAACAAATACACACACACACACACACACACACACACACACACACACACACACACACACACTCACATGCACACACACACACACACACACACACACTCACACGCAGAGGCTCACAACGACATGATGACATCATATCGTACCAGCCAACGTTCTAGGGTACCTCTTAGCCAATAGCGATGGCAGATTTTAATTCAACTGCAGTGCAGAGTTTTTACCTGACAACGGCACAACACTGACAGTTTTAGGCAGAAATTTTAAATTTTAACTAAAATGCACTAAAGTGCAAAACTATTGACTACACAAGTCTGCAGCATGATTAGACACACATTTATATAGTTTATCAGAAAAAAATGTTGATATGGGGTTGACTTGCTCTTTAACAAAACTTTAAACAAAATGTGCATTAAACATATTAATTACAACAGATCTGATTCACTAATATGTTTTTTGTTTTGCTCCCAGCACACCTACACGAGGAGGGAGGGCTGTAACAGCTGGAAAATTCAAAAACAAGGCCCTTCAGCTAAGCCTCTCCAAGAAGTTCTGGTGATTATCATTCTCTGTTTCTGATCAACATTGGTTAGAACAAAGAGAGCAGGTTGTGCACCCAGTTAGCTTCATCAAATGACACATAAGCTGGAAAACAAGCCTGCAGAATTGCCCTCCTCAGATAATCGATTTGGTTGTCGTCATCTGCTGGGCAATGATTCAGCTTCATCTGTGTAGCGTAAAAGGTGTATAACTGTGTTTGTTAAACTCAGCTGGGAGAGGTAATTACACGCTTGTTTTAGACAATGACGACTCTAAACGATATGTTTATGCACTTCACAGCACCAAGTCACCATCCTCCAAGGAGAAGAGTCCTGAAGCAGCGGAGGGGAGTCGCAAGGGTAAACGAAGCCTCAGCAACAGCTCAGTGGTGGCAGCGGCCTACATCTCCTTCCTGAACAAACTTTTTGGACAGGTTCGTTCTGGAGCACATAAATGGTTGCTGGTTTCTCTTAAAGGGGAAGTAACTGGAAATGCTGAATTGGTTGCAGGTGTGTTTGTCACATGGGCTACAGTAAGCTTACACTGTTAGACTTTACCTATCCACTTTACGGTAATAAACTGGCAACACTGTTGCCAGCATGATACCGTGATGCATGGTTAACGGTAACTTACCAATTAGTGTTGATCCCAGAATTATACCGTATATTTTATTGCTGTAAAAAACCCTCTGACTGCATGGCGGTGAGATACTGGCAACAGCGTTGCCAGTATCTCACCGGCAACAGTGTTGCCAGTAAAATACCGTAATATATTTCACAAGAAAATTACATCAATAACGCAATATTATACCGTGATTAATAAATATGTGTTGTGCTGTATGTTTATGGTATGTTACCGTAAGCTCATTTCAAGGTATGCTGCAATACCTTTTCCAGTGATTTACCGTAAACATACACTTTTGCTACTGAAAATAGTCAACGCTGTCAGAGGTTACTGTGTTTTTGTGGGCAGTAATTTACCTTTTTCATGTCATATTTTACTAAGATACGAGTAAACGGTAACATACTGTAATACAATAAAGGCTCCCAAAATAAAAGGTTTATACTTGTGCGTGCGCACACACACACACACACACACACACACACACACACACACACACACACACACACACACACACACACACACACACACACACACACACACACCTGCACACTTGTTTGTGTAATAGTTGGATATATTTAAGATCAAGATGTAAACAAAATGCACTGGATTATCTTTTTTTATTTGATTGCTTCCATTAAAACAGAAAAACATAATGGTATAGTGAGAAGAAATTGGCAACTGATGGTCATAATGTAAAAAAGAAATGAATCAGTGACCTGTGTGACCTACAGCTGATAAATAGTCAGATGTATACAAAATGTCTACAAACCTTTCTTAAATGCAAGTAGTAGTTTACGTATTTGAATTGGTGTAAGAAAATGTTTGCGATCATCTGCCCCACTAACAGAAGGTCACTTTTTTGTTGGACACCAATGACATCTTTCAGGTGGTCTGCGATGGACAGTACTTTCTGTCTCTCCAATTCCGGCAGGATGCATGTGATTTCATCTTCAGTTTCCATCACTGAAATATAAGGGGAAAAAATCATGAAGAAACTGAATGGTGCAGGGAGACAACAAAAAGATCTGCCATGTTATAAAGGGGTATTGGGTAATAATCCATCAGACTGTCAGCATTTACACACAAACTTCTGTCTGTAGGGCAGTGTTGGCAATAAAGTCCAAGGTCAATAAGGCGTACTGACTGATGCAATTCTAGCACAAAGTACAATTTAGAATCATTAACAAGTATCACAACTATCTACCCAAAGTCAGTGCTCTCACTAGTGTGATCTACTACAACAACATGACCTTTGACATATTTGGTACCTTTGTAGACAACTGCTGACACATCTAGCATGTTATGATTAGAGACATTTGCTTTTGTCACAGCATCCTGAGTGGCAGAGTTGTAAAGATGATGTCTATAATCATTCACTTCTCCAATGATTTGAATTGTAGGTGGAAATATTTGCCCTGGCATAATACTTTTTTTCCATCTTTAATATGGATCCTCAGATGGACACAAAGAGTTTTAATATTTTGTCCAACATACCCACATCCAGGAACTTGTCAGCTAAGATTTCCAGTGAACTTCCAGCTCTCCTCCTCAGTGTTCTCCCCTCGTCTATGATTTCTGTGCATATGGGAACGAAAGGCAGTGAATGTTTTAAAAGTGGCTTTACAATTCTCAATTCCACAAGAAAACATATAATTTGCATTGTGTTTATGGCTTCTAACATGTGAACTGAACAATATAAATTTGTGTGCACGGAATCTATAATATTTACAGAGAAACATTTTAAGTACCCTATATCTTCAATAGTTTCTTTTCCAGGGATATTTTAAGCAATACAACAAAAATGCATAGAAAACTAAACAGTACCTTAACAGTAGGCTAAATAGTCATAAAAGGCTCAAATATGCCTAAAATGTAACATCCCCTCAAAAAACGGAAAGTAGTATAGCTTTCACACTGGCCACCAAAAGGAAAATTATTTGACCTCAATATCGGAGTTAAACCTCTCCAACCTGTTCTGCATATCACAGCATGCACTGGCAGCAGCCTTCACCTGCAAACACTTACTGCCAAATTAGCATTTGTTTTTTTTTTTGCTCCTAACTTTATTGAAAACAAATGTCATACACAAGAGAAGTCAAGGAAACAAACTGACTTTGATAGCAGTCTCCATTACAGAAAATGTGAAGCAAATCATTTTATCTTTGAAAAGAAAAAAAAAGAAAAAGAAAAAATGATCAAGAGCAAAACAATAAGTAGCAGAAACATTTTGGCACAAGCAGTTTTCTTATTCATATCTGAGATGTGCTTGAGTGACTAAAAATATAATGAAAAGTTATTCAAGAAAAGGATAAACAGAGAACTGTTTTTCCAATTACATGAATAAATGAATTATTTACATAGAATATTTACAAAAAGAAAACATCAGATATTTTAAGTAAAATCTAGCTTTGGCTATCAGTCCAAAATACAATCACATGCTGACAATTGAAAAATAGATTATGCATTGTTTGTAGATCTTAACAAATTTGGTTTTAAGCATCACATTACTTTGCATGGGTAGCAGCTGAAAATTAATCACCTTGTTTGTCAGTTTTTAAAGCATTCGGGTAACTTCAATAAGGTGTTTACACATTTATGGACAGGGACCATTTTGCAGAATTTGCATGAAGATCACAGCTATAGCTAGTTTAAAAGCCAAAACATGCAGTAAAATACTTACCAGACTGACCAACTCCCCTGTAATGGGTCACATTCGGGATACGCGTTTGGAAAATGTTTTTATTTCTTCTTTTCCTAAAAGTGCAAGACAACGATCATATATTGTGTTTCCAATGTTGTTGTTTTGAAAGCAAATATCCAGGTTGTAACAGGTGAAAGTGATGAATTCTTTTTCACTTAGCTAATTCTGGGAAACCCAACAACATAAAACATACCTAGGGGTGGAAAATACCTTTGATGAGTTCTTCCTTGGCCCATTTCCTTAAGATTCCATCTATAGCTGTCTGAATTTTTTGTTACATCTATAGTGAACACAATAGATAGACAACAGCATAATTTTGGTGGCTGTAATTATCCTATAATATTGCTGTGAAAACATGCAAAAAAAAAAACAAACAACTGGTGGAATTTTGAAATGATCAATATTTTATGGAATATTTTACATAAAGTTTCTTACAATTATAAAGTCGTAAACTGGTATCATGTCAGTTTTTTGAAAAAATTCTGTAAACATTTATCAGTTTAAATCGCCCACCAGGCAGATGTCAATTACTGTCATTTAGGCAGTAGGACTAATAGATTAGCTTAAATATGATTTTATCAATCTGAGATGATTTTTTAATTTACAATGTAGGCTTGGTTAAAGCATCCAATCTTTTGTTTTATATTATAATTAAAATATTTTTAAAGAGATTTTAGTGAGCGTTTACATACTGTATGCTTTTATAATAGCTCAATTAAAACATTTATTCTTGGAGCATTTTCTCTTTACTATGGGGCATAGTGTTTTTTCAAAGAATTGTTTTGGTAATGCACTCTGAATGAAGATTTGAGCAAGGTATTTTAAAATGTCCACTGAAAAACCACAGACAGAAAAATGTGAGAGGTATACCAAATTTTTATATTTGCTGTACTTTACCTGTTTCCTTTAAAACAGTGACATACCATGAAAAATATGTGATGTTGTTGAATTTACTCACCATTACATGCCAAATACAGTACTACACTGCTAAGATTTTAGCTGTATTTTCCTTTTGATTTTACAGTAATATACTATAGGAATGACAGCACAGTCTAACAGTGCATGGAAATTACAGTACTATACTGCAGAGATTTTAGCTGTATTTTACTGTTGATTTTACAGTAATATACTATAGGAATGACAGCACAGTCTAACAGTGCATGGAAATTACAGTACTATACTGCAGAGATTTTAGCTGTATTTTACTGTTGATTTTACAGTAATATACTATAGGAATGACAGCACAGTCTAACAGTGCATGGAAATTACAGTACTACACTGCAAACACTTTTAGAGGTATTTTACTGTTGATTTTACAGTAATATACTAGCAAATGCCAGCAAAGTCTAACAGTGTAGATACACACCGTTACATGTGTGTCCCAACCCACTTCAGCATCAGCAATAAACAAACAATTGGTTTTGGCGATGCTGACCACAGAACTATGCTCATCGCTAATAGCACGAGACACTGCTAATGCTAGCCTGAACCACTGCTAATGTTCTCATTGGACGAGAGGAAAACAACAAACAATGTTGGAGCACCAATCGCATTCCAGGATTCACTGGGAATTTCCAGATTTGAATAATTGCTGGATAGATCCAAAGTTTGCCGTCTAGACCTTGTTTGTCCACATCCTGCACCCATCTGCAGATGTTAACCAACCGCCTCCCCTCAAACAATCAGCATGCAGCTCGTTTAACTCATTCACTGCCATTGACGACTAAAGTCGTCATTTACATGTTTTTACTGTGTGGGCATCGGAACAAGCCACTGCGCCGTGAGAACAAACATCTCAGCTCTAAAGCTGATCTTCATCCGCATAAATCACATGTCACGTGATCAGGAAGCAGAAAATCCATGTGTTAGGAGATTGTTTTGGGCCGCTGCTGTGAAAAAAGTGAGGCGCGAACCGGAAAAGCTTCTGCTGATCACAATTCGACAACGCATTATAAAAGAATGGATAACGCTCGAAACACGTGGATTCTTCCTGATGTAAGAGGCGAGTCTCTGCTTTGTTTTGGTTGTTTTGGTTGTTTTGGCGTCGACATCATCTTAGCGCCCAATGTTCTGTGACTCTTAAAAAAACAGTAAAAACTGTGAGAAAC